CTGCAGGTTTAAGGGTGTCCTTCTGTTATACTACTTATTTATCACTGATGACGATCTTTAACAGCAGGTTGGAGTGATTCCTCTCAGGTGAGCAGTCCAGAACGAGACAATGAAACCTTTAACAGTGGGGACTCGGGGCAGGGAGACTCCCGCAGCATCACCCCTGTTGATATGCCTGTGACAAGCCAAGCTGCCACCATACTACCAGTGCACGTCTACCCCCTCCCGCAGCAGATGAGAGTTGCCTTCTCTGCCGCTAGAACATCCAACTTGGCCCCTGGAACTCTAGACCAGCCAATTGTGTTTGATCTGTTGCTGAACAACCTTGGAGAAACTTTTGATATCCAGCTTGGTAGGTTCAACTGCCCAGTGAATGGTACATATGTCTTCATCTTCCACATGCTGAAACTGGCTGTAAATGTTCCCCTGTATGTGAATCTCATGAAGAATGAAGAGGTCCTAGTGTCAGCTTATGCAAACGATGGGGCTCCTGATCATGAAACGGCTAGTAATCATGCAGTTCTGCAGCTGTTCCAAGGAGATCAGATCTGGTTGCGCCTGCATCGGGGAGCCATCTATGGAAGTAGCTGGAAATACTCTACCTTTTCGGGATACCTCCTTTATCAGGACTAAAATCCAGTGCTATGTTTACAAAAGAGCTGCTCCAAACACCTTGGTGGAGGGGGGTGGGACTAGCTTTGCACTTACTACTGACTTTGTAGAAGATATGTGGTTCCATTATTGGGGGAAATGATGGTCCTGTTGTGCAAGGTGAAATCATGGAGTTGGGGTACTGAATCAGCACTAATTTGGCACTTTATCAGTTGTGATGTAGCCTTGCTAGTAAAGCTGTGAATGTATATTGTTTGCACTTACCCTAAACTGTATTAATGTCCAGCTTACTACACTATTGATTGCCTCAAGTATGGGCTATTCACAATGCCTTGTTGTGCCTCAATAAAAAAGTTAATATGCATTTTAGTATTAATCTTTCCAGTGGTCTTTATTTTTAAAATATATCAAACTGAGCTTATTCCTGATGTGGAGTGTACATGCATATTAATAGAACTGGCCTTCAAGTTTCAATAATGCAGCATAAACTGTATAGTTTAAATGGGTTTACTTGTTTGTTTGGTTCTTGCTTGAAGCCATTCTCAAGAGTATTCTCTGATCAAAATGAATGAGATGTAGTTACATATGTGCTTCCTTTTTAACTGAAATTAGAAATGAAATGCTACATACTTCATTAGGACTACTTATTTTAAATGCATATCCTGTCGAAATCTAGCTTTGTCACATCACCTGTCCTTCAGTAGGGATGTGTTGTAGTTGAAGGTCTTAAACATCAAAACAGTCACTGAAGGGCTGCCTCACACTTATTCAGCTGCAACATAGTTTAACATTAAAAACTGGCACTTGTGAAACACCAATGTATATGGCTTCACTCCCACATGAGATCTGAATTGGATTGTAATGCAAGTTATCTCCTCCTTTCAGAGAACTGCTGAGGAACTGTGTATTTGTAGTTGAAGCCTGCTGCTTGCATTTTGAATCAAATGTGAATACAAATGCTAGGAAGCATTTATGAAATTCCTTTCTTAGAGCTAACAGGCTCCGTGACTGGTCTTCAGCAATGCCTTGTGGTCAGAGAACTGCAAAGCCATGATGTCTGTCCTTTTCTAAGCTGCAGCATGTCAAAT